TATTCTACCATTAGTCTTTTCATGACCTGCTGAGAGCTGGTTAAAGAAAGATGGTTGGTAGTGGTTGAAAAGAAATTTATCATACAAAAAAGTACCACACACACACACACACACACACACACACACACACACAACACACAAACAAATAAACACACACACACACAAACACACAAATGCAAACTTATATACCGTCACAGGTTTTCATATAAATATAAGTAAGCGAGTGTGAATGTCAGCATGGTGGCCAAATCAATATGAAGATGCTGAAATGATGCTTTTAAGCATTCTCATCACAATACATACATACATACATACATACAATGCCCTCAGTTTGCCCAAATTGATGTACTTCTTGCGTACATCCAAACACATTAACCCTTCTAAATTTGGCGAATTTGACGGAGCCCTGCGCACCGCCCTGTCGTCGATTTGCAATGTTCAAGTGACAGACAGTGGTTGGTCCCAGGCTCAGCTGCCGGTGCGATTTGGTGGGCTGGGGTTGCTTAGCGTGGTTCAGCTGGCTCCCGTTGTTTATAATTCTTCTGCCGCTGCCACTCTCGACCTGCAGTCTTCCCTGCTCCACCGGTTTTTTTGTTGCCGCGATATTCTTCCCCCAGTGTCCGCCCCGGGGGACCGTACGCACGTCCAAATTTTGAACGAAGAATATAAAAAAATCTTTCAAAATGTGTTGTCTTCATGCGGCGACGACTTTTCCACCGCTCGTTTGTTGGCCATGTCCAGCGTTGCCAGCTGTGGGTGGTTGAGATCGTGGCCCAACACCTCTGTGGGCACCAGGCTTGACGACGAGTCTGTGAGATTTGCCATTGGCTTCAGACTTGGCCGGGTCATTCAGAATAAATACACGTGCCGATGTGGCGCTGGGGCGGACGAGTTTGGGCACCACGGTTTGGTTTGTCGCCTGGGTGGGGGCCGTCAACTACGTCACTCAGCGCTAAACGATTACATTTGTCGGCTCTTCTCCAAAGCTTCAATCCCGGTTCTCAAGGAACCATCCGGCATTTCTGCGCATGATGGTAGGCACCCGGACGGATGCACACTAATACCTTGGAGAGCCGGCAGATGTTTGGCGTGGGATGTTACGGTCCCTGGCACCCTCGCCGAACGATACGTAAACCTGACAAGTAAAGAATGCGGTTTGGACGCGGCCAGGGCAGCGGACGAGAAAATGAAAAAATATGGGAACGCCTTTCCCTCGATGGAATTCTTGCCAATATGCATCGAGGTTCTTGGCCCGATAGACCCCAACACCCTTAAATTTCTTAAGGAAATATGCAAAATGATCAGCGTCAGATCAGGCGACAGCAGGGAACTGTTTTTCGCAACTAACCACATTTCGTGCTTGTTGCAGCGGTTCCTGCGTGTCTGTGTGCTTGAAAATATCCAACTGAATGCCGTCACGTGCAATTAACGACAAATCAAAGTGTTAATCCATTTGTTACTTGATGTTTGACGGTTCAGTGTCACTCATCATGTTTTGGTTTTAACATACATACATACATACATACATACATACATACATACATACATACATACATACATACATACATACATACATACATACATACATACATACATACATACATACATACATACATACATACATACATACATACATACATACATACATACATACATACATACATACATACATACATACATACATACATACATACATACATACATACATACATACATACATACATACATACATACATACATACATACATGCATGCATACATGCATACATACATACATGGGCGCAGGGACGTTCCCTTGCTTGGGATGTTACGTTCCCTCACACCATGGCTGAAAGGTACATTAATCTTACCTCACAGGAGGCGGGTGCCGTTGCCTTAAGAGCCGCAGACTTTAAAAATTCAAAATATGCGGCTCTTGCAGAAAGCAAAATTTTTCAGCCAGTCTGCATTGAGACCTTTGGTCCAACCGATGCTCAGACTCAGAGTTTTCTGAATGAACTCTGTAGCAGGATTGTAGAAGTATCGGGTGACCCATTAGATAAGAGTTATGTAAAGCAATCCTTTTCTATTTTACTTCAAAAATATAATTCTTTCTGTATTTTGGATGGAGCGTTAAAATACCTGTCTGTGCGAAGCGTTTAACATAGATTAAAGCTGAATCCGGATATGATTATTACTTCCCTATAGTTCTAATCAATTATGGGTACATACATACATACATACATACATACATACATACATACATACATACATACATACATACATACATACATACATACATACATACATACATACATACATACATACATACATACATACATACATACATACATACATACATACATACATACATACATACATACATACAAACATACATACGAAACGAAACGAAACGAAAATGTATTTGCTTTCAAAATTGAAAATTAAAAGAAAGCAGGATGACCATAATAGAATTTATATAAAATTCATTTAGTATGGCCACCTAAACAGAAATGCTTCAAGTTCACACAAATTTTCAGCAAATAATAAAAATTTTTCCTAAATGATCTATGAGAGGCACGTTAGATGTTAGTTGTTAGTAAATTAACGAACTTAACTATGTTAGCAAAACAGGTGTTAGTTGTTAGTACGATGGTTCATGGTTTATGTATAACAATGTTTGGTATCTATCCAGAAAAACACGGGATAGAAATTACATAGTTATCTATATATTTAAGCAATATATAGAACGACATTGTTTTAAAAGTTAAACAGAAATGTGAACTAAACAATGGCAATTAAGGCGCAAATAAAAATTGAAAAATAGATATACATACTTTATTTGATTTATTTATTTGATTTATTTGATTTGAAGGATGACCAAAAAAGATAAACTTGTGGATAGGCCACCCTTAACTAAAATTTCTAACTATAGATGTAACAGAAATGTCATGAAATACATACACATAAACTCACGCTCACACATACTTACAAACACGCACCATACTACAATTCATATCACAATACTGTTATACAGAACTGAAGAAACAGAATCGATGAAATGAAATGATCTGGAAACCAAACATACGCTCACTTACACACTCAAATAAATAGACACATAAATAAATATGGCCACACACCATACACATATAGGGCGTGGCCACATGTCTCA